AACTTCAGTGAGATGTTGCATATGCTCTTCTGGATTTTTGAAAAAAATGACCACATCATCAACAAAGGAAATTACACTGATGAACTTCATGTCGGAGAATACTCTGTCTAAATAGCTCGATAACAATCCGGATCCTAAATGTAATCCATACGGGCACCTAGTGTATTGGTACAGGGAATATGGCGTGCTGAAAGCTGTCAAATGTCTACTCTTAGGGTCCAAAGGTACCTGGTAATAAAAATTGTTCAGGTCGAGTACTGTATAAATTGAAGCCCCACTCAAGTAATTAAAGGATCCTTGCAACTCTCCGATCGGATGTACAATAGGTTCAATCTTTGAGTTTAATTCTTTGTAGTTCGTAACCAATCGATGACCTTTGCCCTCCCCTTTACTCACTAAAAAACTAGGAGAAGAATAACTAGAAAGACTTGGCTCTATAATGCCTTGTTTTAACAGTGAATCGGTTATTTCCCGCATTATCTTCATATTTGGAGGTGACACAGGATACGGTCTTATTTTAACAGGTGTGGTATCCTTTAACTTAATTTCACATTGGAAATCAATTGCTTTCCCTATCTCATTTGTGAAGACCCCTGGATTTTCTTTAATTAATTTTACTATACGCTCCTTTAACTCTTCACAACCTATCTTAAGTTCTTGTACCCCATCCTTAGTTGGTATTACAACCGGATCCACGCTTACATTTAACTGAAATATATGTTCTGGATCAAAGGTAAAATAACCCTTGTTTTCCATTAAATTCAGTACTAAACCAGCTTTCTCCATAAAACCCATTCCTAATATCACATCCATATTTAATCTCTCAGCAATCACAAACCTTAGCACCCATGCCTTATCTTGGATTTTTATCTTGAGATTACAGACCCCCAATATTTCAACTGACTCATTTGTAGCAGTTAAACAACTGATCTTATCTTTAGAATAACTCTTTATCAGTTTCTGACCTAATAATTTGTCATATAACTTCCTACTTAACATATTTACAGAGCATCCTGTATCCAATAATGCACATTGTTTTACACCTTTACCGAAATCTATATCCAACATAGGCAAGTTATATACACCACTCTTTGTCTTAAACCAATGTTTGTTCCTTTCCTTTCTAGCTTTCTTTTTTAATTTGTTTTTTTCTACCTTAACATGCTCCTTTACACCTATGTTGTTCAAATAACCTGGGGAGTTACGTAATCTAGTTTTAACCTTCTTCATATTTACATTTACTGTTTTAGGGAAGGCACTCTTCCTACAACCTAGTTTCCCTGTACCTGACTTTCAGAGGTGTCAACAGACTCTTTATTTATGTTTTCCCCTTGACCCCCTCTATTAAAACTTTGTCTTTGATTTCCAGATTGGATTTCACTCTGTCGTTTCCAACAATTCCTAATAAAGTGACCCGGTCTAGAACAATAATGGCAAACTCTATTGTTTAGTTGACTACTCTGTTCCCTGCGCTCTGTGATATTATTAACGCCATTTCTTATTTGATAACCTCCCCTTGGTTGTATTCTACCCCTCCTCAACTCTTCTCTCTCTTGGTCATGATAATCAATATTTTGTACAAACATACACATCCTCTCTAGATCTTGAAAGGTTTTTGGAATTCCCTGAAAAACTAGCTTACTCCTATCATTTTGATTAATACCCATTATAATAATGTCAATAAGCTCAGCTTCAGAATAGTCACACAATAAAAGCTCTACATTGTTTTTTATTTCACCTACATACATTGAGAGTGGTTCATTTATCTGTTGTGGTCTGTGGACCATGTCCCTCTTTAGCTTCTCATACATTCCACGTGGTATAAAATACCTTAGTAAGGCATCTTGAGCAAGCCTGAGACTTAATCCAGATTCAATTAAATGATTAATTCTCCCAAGCAAAGGTTCACTTACATAACTAGCTACCACTTCAAGTATCTGTACATCACTCAATTTACCGTGTCGTTTGATTTTATTAACAACATTTATTAAAATTAGGAGTTTCTTGTGATCAAGACCATTAGTGTTAGGTGGAATTTCCTTTAAAATTCTTTCTAAAGGATTAGCTAGTTTTGTAAACAACTCTTGACCATGACTGACAGTAGTTGGAGTTAGGCAACTGTTATCAGTGTTTACATTACCCACAATGTTATCTACCCTTTGACTCTCCCTTGACTCTAAAGCTACAGAAACACCTTTATCCCTGGGATTCCCTGACCTAACATCTGGGTCGAAAACATCACCCCCCATTTCACTAACATCTACCTCTACCTTTTCTTCCTCCTCCTCATGACTCTGACTTAATTTTCTTAAACCTTCCTGCACTACCTCTACATCAACTTCACTTATTCTCTTACCTAGCAAAGATTCCCACTCACCCGTTTCTGTCACCCACTGATCCACTATTTTTCTCAACTCTAAACCTAATCTCGACTCCCCATTCTCTAGCAAGTTTTGTAGCCTACGCCTAAGGTGACTTACTCTCTCTTTCAATCTGTGCAACTGCACAGCTTCCTTTACCCCCTCTACACCCTCTAACACACTCTTAAGCTCACCTATCTTCTCCTTACAATTGTCAAACTCAATAGAAACCCTTAGCACTGTAAGATTTTGCCAGTCAGTAGGCACCCCAGTCTTTAACGCTTTCCTTAATTTCTTTCTCAAAACAGGAACTGTACTATTTACTGTTACGGGGAACCCTCGCCACTGCAATTCATATATCAGCTCATCCTTGAGCAGTAGATCTACATTGAACGACATGACTGATTGACTTACAACTGCACTCATTAAAATTTATTTTGCTCTAACCCAAGCCTCATAGCTAACTCACACACATTCATCCTGACCAGCAGAGTGGCGCAACTTGTAACGACTCCTGCGATCCAACTAATATTAATTGAACCACAAGAATAATTACTGGACTTTAAACCAGGTATGAATGCCTGTGAGACGCCAGAACTTCGGGTCATAACAAAATAAAAGCATCTTATTCCAGAAAAGATTTATTACAACAATAAAAATTAAAATCAAATAAAATGACAATTCTCAACCAAAACTAACTAAGCAAATTTTTCTCTTTGTCAAACCTAACCAATTTATTTTCTTCCTATTAAACAGTACCTACTTTAAATGTGCAGTATTATCCTTCATATTTCAAATTACACACAATTTTTATCAAATAAAACAATGAGTTCTTTCAATATCCAGGTATCTAGGGGCCCCAACTTAATAATATCCACTATGTGGTACTCATCCGAAGTGTTCTGAAGAGAGCTCGATCCTTGAGTCTGAGGTAACGTCCATATTGTAGACATCAGCCACTCGAGTTGTCGATACAGGACCAGGACTGCTGGGATCAGCGACACCACGACTCCCCAGCTGGCAGACCACCTTCCAAGGTATCCTCCGCCTCGGGCTGTATTGTCTAGGTCCAAGGACAGCCTAGGCAGCCTCCGATGTTACCAAAGACAGACTAGCAGAGGTGCACATCCGGACGTAATCCATATTCCACAGGATGGAACCCTGTGAAAACTCCCCTTGCTTAGCCTTCCGATTTTATTTAAATATTTAACTCCCCTAACTCCTTGGTATGTTCCCCATACAGAAATAATAAGAAATGGATTGATTAATTTCATTGGTTTAAACTTATTTAAAATTGATCTTCATTGCCAATGGCGTAAACTCAAAATTATTTAACCTCAATACTGCACATAAGATATGACCATACAATTTTTCAAAATAATAACTAGCCTGAAAATGATTGACAGTCACAGTTACTTTGTTCCTTTTACTGAAATAAACTATACTTTCCAACAAAGTTGAATTTTAATGTCCATGACTCTAGGTGACAATGCAATATAGCCACATAGTTACTTCAGCATACTGCACACATTTCAATATAATTTATTTATTACTGTGGTTAATATTTCTTTACCAACTAATTACTCAACATCTTAAACATGTTTACATCTTTAAACACAATATCCTCAATAAAATAAGCAGTTTTTAATTAAAATGGACCTGAAAGAACAAGTTTGCAACCATGTGCTCACATATTTACAACTCAAATTACTATTATTTACACATTTTCATCTGGTCAATCTGGTTCAAACTTTTTAAATTCATTCCTGGAATAACTTTTTGTTTTTAAAATTATCCTACTAAAAATAACACAAAATTCTTACCTCCACTTGAGGGTTAAACACTTGTAGATATACTTCTTTACAGGAACAAGAGCACAAGATAAAAGACTTTGCATTGGCTAGGAACCCATATATATAACCACTGTTCCCAAGGCACTCAGCAAAAAAAAACTAACATCTGCCAACCTACAAATTTAAGTCTAACACATCCACTGTCTTAGCAAGAACTACCTTGGCCCACAGTTATCAATAGCAAGTTATCCCTCTCCCTCACACTCACTCTCTGTCTCTCTCTCTCACTTACTATCTCCAAACGCCAATAATAACCTGTCCTGCTAGCACTGAACTAGCTTAATTGAAATTAAAACAAAACTTTACTTTAAATAATATTTTAAGCATTTTCTTAAACAGTAAAAAAAAAAAACTTGTAACAAACCAATTGTTACAATGCCACTCTTATAGGAACTTCGTTTCTTACTCTGTACTTTTCTAAAATATAGCTGTGACAATAATTGTGCTAATACTATAAACATTGGCCACAATAAACGTAAAGTGAGGCACCATTTCCAATAACGAACCCAAGGAAAAAACTTAAAGTTATCCATTACTTGTGTTTTGCATACCAGCCAATCGTTCGAGGAAAGATGCAGACAGTGATCAACATCCTCTAAAGACTGGCCAATGGTTTAAATCCAATGGTCAGTCCCAGGTGGAGAAAGGGTCAGAAGACAGCTAAGTTTTATCATGCAGACTGCAGCAGTGGCTCGAGAATTTGCATCTTGAAGACAACAATATCAGCTGGCTCCTTCCTAACTTCTAGCTTTATTTCACGATTAAATGTGTAATCTTGTGGTTCCAGGAGTGTACATGGAGCCTGCTTGCTCCAGCCAGGACCTAGACCACTACGTGTTAGTTATCGGGTACGGAACTACCAGGAATGGAGAAGACTTCTGGTTGGTGAAGAACTCCTGGGGAACCTCCTGGGGAATGAGGGGATATATCATGATGGCCAGGAACCACGACAATATGTGTGGTATTGCCACCCAGGCCAGCTACCCCACAGTCTAGACCATCACTTTACCATGGCCAATGGCCAGCTCAAAGTCTTTGCTTTGTTATATTATATGTAAATATAACTATATAATTGGTTTAAATACCTGCATTTATGTGATAAATGTGTTTTTTTTTGTTTTTTGGTATCTAGAGGCAAAAAAAACCATCGGTTCAAATGTGGATATATATACGAGTATATTGAAAGAAATATACAGTGGAACCTCGATAACAAGATCCTCAATAATAAGTCACCCTTGATAACAAGTGCAATTTTCTAATCCCCTTGAATTTATTTTACCTCTAATCACATGTGATTCAAACCTTGATGACAAGTTAACCTTGATAGCCAGTCTTATTTTATAACCCCCTTGAGAGAATTATTAATGGGGTTCTACTATAAGACCATGGTGTTATAATACAGAGGGTTTATAAAAGGATGCCTTGATTTTATTGTTGCTCGAGGACTATTCTAGATAATTGAACGGTTTGAACATAAATTTGAAGGGAAAATAACTCTTTTTTCTCATACTTTGATAAGATTTGGAATATTACAAAAAACCTTATTCTCATAAATCTTCCATGGGCATAAAAACTGGCAAGGTCTGCACGCTTCTTTACCATCATATAAATTTAAATTCAGTTTAATTTAGCATTCGATTTAAACTCTGCGAATCCCGAATTAACCTATGTTCCTTCTGTTATTCTGTAAACATCGTACTAGCGACTGGCGTCAGGCGTGTGAGTCACAGTAGTGGCCCACCATCGTGCATCTGTTTTGCGCATGCCAAGGTCAAAGTTTCCTCCCCAGGCCAGCTGTTAGTTGGCATTAATAGATTAAAGTTTACTTTTAACAATGCAGGAAGAGGTGTAATTTTTGGAAGACACTCTTAGTTTTGAAGAAAATTTTACATCTTGACAATAAAACGTAGACTAGTAACTGTGAAATATTTCAAGTAATTGCAACGATAAAAAACGGTGGACTTTTTAGGATTATCCCGTGGATTTTGGGACCAAGGCCTACAATCGTGCCGAATTCCCGATCTCTTGCTGTTCTAGGTAAATATTTGTATCCCCTGTGAGTGAGTGGATCAGCTAGTTATACATCGGGCTGTGTAGTTATAAATATATATATACTTTGTTAAATATGTTTTTGATTTTTAATACATATATTAATATATATATATATATATATATATATATATATATATATATATATATATACTATATCTATAAAAGAGGAAGTATGTATGTATGCATATACCCAATGGACTCCGACACCGCTCAGCAGATTGTAATAAACCTTTCAGGGATTTGTAAGCAGTCCCTGGGACCGAGCTTTGCTCGGGAAACTTTATTAGTATACTCTGAGAGTGTTCTTTGGTGAATGTCATCTGACCCAAAAATATTCTTTTGCGGTCTAGTTAGCTTCTGCTAAAATAATATTGTTGACTGAAATAATGCGATAGAAAATGCATAGTGAATTTGAAAAGGCTATTAGTAGAAAGAAGATCTTCATACCTTCCTTCCTTTGAAGTAATAGTCACTGCAAGAACTTTAGTTTGCTCTCGTTCCCCAGAACATTTCCTTAAATCTTAATTTTCCTTTAATGTAATACCATTTTCCTGAAACAAAGGACTTTTCAGACAGAAAACGATTATATTTTTGGATTTAGTCAGAAGAATTCAGTAAGGGAACACATTATAAAGCAATTTTCATTAGGTTGGGTTATGATGAACTTTTACCATAAACAATACCTGTATTTCATGACCTAAATTTCTTGAGAATTAATAAATCCTTATTTTATGTACACAAAAGATGCTCAAGTATGTACAAAGCTGAATTATATTGATGGATTAGTCTCTAAAGCATGTATAGGCTTTGGCATTCATCAGCTTGCAACACTTATTGACATCCGACACACTGCATGCTGATCCAACTTTTAACAAACTTAACTGCAATTCATGACTAACCAAATGAATTTGCCAAACTTAGCTTTGTTTTAAGGGGTAATGGTTGTTTCCATACCATATTACACTGTATAGCTTGGATCCCTTAGATGAAGCCATGACTAGGACTAGAAAGATCTCTGGTAAATTTAAACCCAATGATTAAAACATGTCAAAAATGACTGTCTATTAATTTTTCACAGTTACATCTTAAAAGATAAATAACTTCAAGCTATAACCTGAAATACACTTATGTTACACACTTTCAAATAAATAAATTATCTTCATAACAACACTGTATGACGCAAGTGGCAGATGTAATCTAAATATTTATTAAAATCAAATCAAGAATTATATTTATTATATTTATACAAAATATACTTTGGGATTGGATAGTGAGCTTTTTAAGTTTTAACTTTAAAGGATCTCCTGCAGCCCAAACTTTCCGACTTTTGTCGACAGGCGATACGCTACGTATGCATGCTGATCCAACCTTTAACTAACTTAACTGTAATTCATATCCTATCAAATGAATTTGCCAAACTTAGCTTTGTTTTAAATTTTATAGTTGTATTTATATCATATAACTGTACAAAACCTAGGCTTCCTTAGAAAAAGCCATGAATAAGCTAGTAAGGTAAACGTTTACACTTTAAGATGTTGGTGCTTATCATAAACCACATTTAGAGAAATGCTTCCGGTAACCACAATTCTAGTTGTTGCCACCACCCAGCTAAATGTGTAAACCTATGCATAAAACGTTTGTAATACCTAGCATTATCTCTTATGTTTATTGTGTGTAGCCTATTAATGAGCAGGTTCTATATATGTTTACATCTGCTTGGGAAGTTGTGACAGATTTTCAAAAATGATTATCCATCAGAGACAAATTTGTAAAACAAAATAAGTTCTGCCAGGAGTGTTCTGCCTATGCTGATATGTGTGAAAATGCTGATTTCCGTTACTTTTGGGGTGAACTTTAAAAACTAAAAGAACGGCTAGAAATGCCATGGGTTGGTACTCCCATAAAGAATTTGATTAAAACGAGACCACAAATGTAGTCTGTTGCACTGTAAACATACACACTTTTATCCAAATAAACTTTTGCACTTGCCATAGAAAGATAAATGAACTAAATCCTAATTACCTTTGTAATAATTATTTATAACCGACTTTTTCTAATGTAGGTGCAGAGAATTACTGTTCCCAAAATTTCTGAACACGAGGAACGTTTCATTTTTTTTTATTTCCTTACACACTACTAAGCATGTTTTAAACACTGCTGTAGTAGTGTTTGCATACAATTCCTCATTATAAATAATGAGTTATAGGAGTGCCAGGAAATAATTTAATCTTGAACTGTTCTACATCAAGAAAACTGTATATTTTTATAAGGAAAATTCGTGTACTGAGTTGAATGCATATTTATAAAACAAACATTACAAGGTATTCTGTAATCACTTTTAACATTAATGTTTATAGCAGACTGTTAGTGCTTGTTCTAATTCAATGTAGAAGCGCCAAGTAGATGTATGCATGTGGTTTGTCATACCAAGTTATCATTTCTCCTCGGGGAGCGATGCAAACTTGTAACATGACAAACTAGTTTTGGTCTGATTGTTATACAGTGTAGTTTATTTCGAGTTGACGTATATTGTGCGAATAGCTTTATAAACCTTAACAAACATAATACAAAAGTTAACACTTTATAACGAGCCATGAATTCCTTAATCAAATAAAACAATAAACAAATAATTCAATGTCATCATCGTTATTTACTTTTCTATTAGTTCTCCTTTGGTACACCCTGTCTTACCCTCTATACTTTTTCATCGTTATGTGTTTACCCTTTTCTAAATAAAATGAAATAAGAACCTGACACGTGTAAAGAGATTATGTAAGGAAAGGGAAATGAAGATATATTTTTCTTAGGAATATGTAAAAAAATAAAGATTTCTGACGTTTCGAGGTCTGAGATCTGCAATTTGACCTCTCTCAGGTGTGTAAGTGTTTTATAAACATGAGATAAATAGTAAAAAAACCCAACAGATGGATGTGAATAAAATCTGTTCATCGATAAAAGAAATACTTTAAGTAAATGTAAAGTTTCAAACTACTAGTACAAATAGTATAGAGAGGTTAGTAAAGCCAAATTATGGGATAATTTCAAGCAATCGTAAGCCGTATAACTATCCAATTATTTTTAAAATTTAAGAAGGATAATCTAAAGAACAATCCAATATAAAATCATAAATCCATATTAGTATCTAATATTCCAAAATATAAACTAAAAACTAACATTGTACAATAACAAAACTGCAGTCATATAACAATCAAAGTACATATGATAGTGGTGCTGTCTGTTTTTTCGTTTTGTCCAGTGTAATATATCACTGACCGCGGGATATCCCTCTAGTTGTATATCCGTGGTCACATGTATGTCAAAGAAATAAATAGTTTCTGTTCGCTGTTTTTCCTATTTCAATTTCTCCTGCCCTCGCAAACTGAGGTTTATACTTATATGAACATGTACAATATCAATAATAGTTTTTATTTTTTTAGATATTTAGGCGTTATTATATTGCAGACACGTCCAGTATAAATGATTTTATACAATATATTACCATATGTAATTAACCTTAGATCAAAAGTAACATGGTACAGTAATCTGTGAATCCGCAAAAAAGATAATTGGGTAATGACGTAATTACTAGCAATTATTGCATTAATTGGCCTCCTCGTGGAGGTCAATAATGTTGATCAGTAATTAACCATCTAATAACAGACCTATAACACCAAATACAGCGTTTCCTCAATAATGTGTAAATACAACATTTATTCAATTACATTTACCAAGCAATATCAAATTACAAGGTTAATCTTCAGAAGACAGCTTTTAACCCCTTGATGAGAACTTTGATATAAAATTAGGCTCTCAGGGGGTAAAGATTTTGTTATAATATTCTAAATTGTAGATTTTTATAAGGTAAATGATTTTTATAATCGATAAAGATATCAATTGAAATTAGAATTGAAAAATACTTGGTGCAAGTGGTACGTTTTAATTCACATAATTTCTCTCACTTTAGTTATTTGTGGTTGGTTGCCAGCTTGATTATAGATTATGTTTCCAATTAATATTTTTTTCGAAACTCTTTTTAAAAT